CCTACATATATATACATATGTTTTATGCCCAAATTACGGCGCGTTTTACTCTAAGTAAAAGTTTAGTGGCATAATTTGCCAAATTCTGGATTACTAGGATATTTATACAGATTATTTAAACCCAAATAAAAAATGAATTAAAATGAAAAGATTAGCGAATAAAATAATAAAATGTTGTTTCCGCATGTTGGGTATAAATATGCTGCCACCACAAGTACACTAATATTACTGTTTTACATTATGAAACTTACTACTATATTAACCTGTACAAAAATATCATAAAATCTGTTGATATTAAAATAAAACAGTTAAGTTCAGAAAACGCCGATGGTGCTTCTTCATCTAAAATCTCTGTTGCGGCACGTCCTCTTTCAATTGACTAATCAGTTACATATTGACAGTGAAATTGACAGTGGTGATGAATCAGGCTCAAAAAAAAAAAATGACGAGGCAGATGTTGTTGAAGATAACCTTTCTGATGGCGATGAAAGTAGTACTTTTATTTAAAATTCAGAAAGTAGTAGCAATGGTGATGTAGAAGAAAATTCATGCGGTGGTTTAACTCTTAAAACTCGTAAAATGGACTATTGTCAAAAGTTGAGGTATTTAGAAGATTTCAAAATCAGAATGTGTTTAATTCTAAAAGTGGAACAACTTAAGAACTGTCATCAATAGGTGTCAAAACATTACTTTTGTAATGTTATAAAACCTATTGATGCATTTAGACTAATTACGAATGAAGGGTTTACTCGCTTTATCAAAAAAAATGTACTATTCGTCAATTTATCAAATGAAGGGTGGAATATAAACGACATTGAACTTGATGTTTTCATAGGTTTAATATATCGCGTATGCACGAAAGCAAAAAATTTTCCATTTAAATTCCAATGGTCTGTAAAATATGGCAAGAAAGCTTTTATAGAAAATATACCGCGTACTCGATTTGAAGACATCATGAAAAACATTAGACTTGATATACATTCAGAACGTAGAGAGCTTTTTTAAAATCATAAAATTGCTCTTATGTCATGGGTACTGACAAGATTTGTAGAAAACAGTTAAAAATGTAATATATGTGTGGAATCTTTAACAATTGATGGGCAGTTGTTCCCAACTAATGCTCGGTGTCGCTTTACACAATATATACCCATAAACTAGACAGGTTTGGAATCAAATTCTGAATTTTAGCTGATCTAAAGACTAAATATTGTCTTAGTATTAATCCTTATCTTAGTAAAGATGAAAGACGAGTAAAAAATTTGAGTACTCATTTGGTCATTTCACTAATGGAACCTTATTTAAGCCACGGGTTACTGCAGATAACTTTTTTACAAGTGTTGATCTTGCAGCAAAACCTTTGCAAAAGAAAACGTCCACTGTTGAAAAAGTTAAACATAATAGAAAAGAATTCCAGCATTTGGTTCACTTCCACTTTACGGTTCAATTTTTTACATAAATAGACCATTGAACTTGATTATCTACAAGGCAAAGAAAACTGTAATTTTATTATCAACACTTCATAAAGGGGCGACTAAGCAAAGTGATGGGAAGAAAAAACCCCTAGGGATTTTATTACAATGCGAATAAATGTGGAGTTGATATGTTAGATTCAATGTATCGACAGATGTCAACAAAATCTGGGTGCAGACGCTGGCCGTTAGCTGCTTTCTGTAATATTTTGGGCTAGTCCGGTGGAAACACTTGGATCATTTTAAAAAAAGTTACATAACAAAAAATTTCGAGACGAAAGTTTCGCTACACTTTATCTGAACATTTAAGAGAATCAAATGGTACTCACCAAAAACTACTCTTTGCTGCCAACAGTAATACCACAATAGCTACCAACAGTACTACCACACTAGCTATCAACACTATTATCAACCCGTTTGAGGTGTCATTAACAGTATGTATAAATTGTAAGAAACCTGCTTGTGGAAATTGCTAATCAAATTTATGCAAACATTGCAAATAACCTTATTTATTTGACTAAAATTATAATGTATATAACGTTTTCCATAAGGAGCATCAGTTGATCCACCTTAGGGTTTTTATGTATAAATATTTATAGCCGCTTATTAATTTATATATCTCTGAATGTGTTCTTTTATGTAGTTTTCCCTCTTTTAAGTAAATAATGTCAAAATAATAAAAGTCATAAAGTATCATTTTATCAACGTTAAAACTTTAGCTTCAGCAAAGTGTCAAAGTCGTGTTTGGATCAATTAACCCACCTTGAGGCTTCTAATGTTAAACTCTCATTTAGATGCTTTAACAACTTTTTCTCTTTGTATTTTCGATGAAAAGGTTATAATTATCAGGGGCTTCAAAACAAAAAGAAATAAACAAAAGCAGAAGTCGCTAAAAAATTTTATTTTTAATTCTTACGTTTAACCTTCTTGTACTATTACTAGATGGGGGTCAAAAAGACAACTTGCTGGATGACGTAATTAACTAAAATTCAACCTTTAAAATAGTGATAAGCATTCAAAACCATTACAAATAAAATATTCATTCCTGATATTAAATAATCCTAACAACTGCGACAGTTCACAACAAAACCAAATAAATTGATTCAGAAAGAAAAATTCAATTATTGATAAAAAACTATATTATTCATATTCTCCAAACAGTTAACTTCTGAGCTTTCTAAAAATAGTTTCAGGATTTTGGAAAGATTGTTACAGATATTTTATATAAAAATTTTTTGTGATTTTTGATGTTGTTGTAAAACAAACGAACACGTTGTTTTTTTTATAAAAAATATTTTTATAAATAGAAGCGCCTCAGCTTAAAGAAAACTTTATATTGCAATGTTGCTTTCAATAAGAAACTTATTTTATAATGAGATCGAGAATATATACTAATTTTTCACCTCAATATCGGCTAATATTACCACGAAGTTAAAAAGCTTAAAATACAAAGAAGTAGTTTAAATTTAAATTGCACGCGCGAGTAACTAAATTAAATACGTTAATTTGCACTTGCTAATGGAAATCGAATTCGAGTGAAAGTGAAAAAGTTTTTTTTTAAACAAACTTAAGACACTATTAGGAAACTTTTACTACTAAATTAAAAAAAGAAAATGCCTAATATAAGAAACTTTCTAGTACAAATCCATCTGTTTGGTTTCTTATAACAAAAAAAAAACAACGTGTATTTGATTTATAGCGGTGTCTGTCGTAAAATGGCATCAATTAGATTTTAGTACTGACTATTGACAAAAAAAAATTGTAGATGCTGAAATTACTTGTCAAAGTAGGTAATCATGGTTATGTAATTATTTGAATATTCAATTCTGTAATTTATTACTGAGTTTTTTGGCTATTCAACTCTGTAATTACATAACTTTTTTCGTAGTAAATAATTTTATTTAAAATAAATTTAACAGAATTTGTTAATTCTGTCATTTTAGGTTACTCATTTTAGGTTACAGCATTTGTCATTTGTCATTTTGTCATTTGTCAACATTTGTCATATGCCATTTTAGGTTACAACAACTTTAATAAAGTTTGATTTTGGACTAAATATTTTTACTGAAATAGTTTTAAACTGCATAAATCGCATACAAAAAACGCGTTTTCCAATTTTTAAAACTTGAAAAAAAACTTTTTTATATTTAAGTTTTTTGATAATATTTTTTCTTGGTGTTACAATATCGGTTTGGAGCAAAACTTGGATTTAATAATTTGTTGTAAATCACTTAATTTCCATCTAAATTAACGCTCAAATAAAATTTGGTAAAGTTATAGTTTATTTTCGAGCTAAGCGTATTTTTATTAACTATCTAATTTTTTTATATTTTTCTGTTATGTTAGTATGAAAATATTTATTCATGAAGCCAAAATACTTTTCAGTCAAATATACTGTTCTTTTTTAGAGGTTTTCTGTAGAAGTTATTTTTACTTTTGCGTTTTAGAAGAAATCAAAATGTTACATCTTTTATTTTTAATTCTAAATTGGATAAATAATCAAATTATGAAGGTAAAACTAAGGTAAACTAAGCGAAAAAATATTTTAATAAAGTTTGATATCTAATCATGATCATAACGATATTAACAATAATAATAACAATAATATTAATACCAATAATAGCAATAACAACAATAATTATTATTATTATTATTATTATTGCTATTATTATTATTATTGCTATTATTATTATTATCATTATTATTATTGTTGTTATTGCTATTTTTATTATTGTTATTATTGTTATTATTATTGTTGCTATTGTGATTATTATTATACATTATAAAAATAACTGGGGGCTATTTTTTATTGTTACGCTTTTATTTTGGTCTTCCAAAACGTTTTTCTTATCTTCCTCATCTGGATGAACACGAGTTTTCTTCAAGTTCATCGTATTTGCTAATTTGTTAATTGGTGTCTGTATAATTTCACAGAAAGTAATTTTTCCTCCTGAAGCAAGTTTTGTGCTTTTAGTGTCACTAATAAAATCTTTAAGTGTCGCAAATAAAATCAGTAATAAAAACGGACACATATTTAACTTAAGAAAAAACAACTCTGTCAAAAGCATTTTTTATTTATTATTTAATTTTCGTTTTTTTTTTTGTATGATTTTTTTTTTTAGTTTTTTTTTTCATCGGTAAAGGTCTTAAAAACTAAACATCATCCCCACAGAATTGTATCAAATACCCAACAAAAACATAAAAATAAACCTACTTTGAGAAATGAGGGGGGGGGGAGGTGGATGAGGGGGTGTTACATCCTCACCCCCTCTAAAATCGCCTCTGCTAGTATGTAGCACTAAATATGTTAGAAACATAAGAGACAGAACGTGTCTACATTTTTATTAATTGCTTTTTGTTAAAACCAAAACTATTTTGTTAAAAACAAAACCTTTTCGTTTCTTTTTTTTTTTTTAATTTATTATAGTTATATAGATTTTTCAAACAATTTAGAGTTCAAGAAAAAAGAGATAAAAAATAACAACATACTCAATTTATTTTTGTTCTCAAAGCTTTTGATTTTATGTCGATCAATCAAAAGATTGATTTGAAAAAAAATTAAGCAAAAAAAAATTTAAACTTAAAAACTTTATAAAAAGCAGTGTAAAGAAAGATATTAGATGAAGATCTCCAAGCTAATTAAAATCATTAGAATTAATTAAACTTAAGGTAATAGAAGTCCTTGACATTATTTGAATTATAAGTAACTCCACCAATGAATTCTGTTTACATGAATATTGAGAGTTGACCTTTAACCAATTCTAGTATAAATCGATCAAAAATTTCATAAACTAAAATTTTAGGTCAGTATTAATATGATATCAACATAGAAGTTGATGAATTTTCTGACTTAATAAGATTATTAAATACTGAAAATAAGATTATAAAAATCATTTATATAAATGAAGATATTTTTTTTCTCTTGACATACAGAAGGTATTCTGATATGAGTTATGTAACCATCATTCACCATTTTTTTATTGATTTTTTTTTTTTTACCTTTAGAAAATCACTCTACGAACCATTGATACATAATCGCGTCGCTCTACGAAACCATGATATATAATCGCGTCGTCATTGCAAATATTACTACTTGCTGCATAGGATTTGTTCTAAATGGTTTTGGATTGTTCGTTTTACTAAAGTTTAAAAAGGGTCATAGCTTAACACAGCGGTACATACTAATCCAACTTTGTTTCTTCGATTTATGCTTAAGCCTAGTAAATGGATTTTATAGTTTAAACGTAGAACACACTATTTTAAGTTTGCTTGAAATAACTTTTAATACAGGATTTTATTTTGCAACATTTTGGTTGGTATGTGATAGATATTTACATTTAAAATTGAATATGAAATACGTCATCTTCTGGTCCAAGAAAAAAACAATAATTTCAACTATGGTTGTATGGGTTATATCTATATTGTGTTCAGTTTTGTCTTTTTATAAAATTTTGCGAAACATAATTCTTAGTTATGTCTGCTACGATTTTATTATAATTTGTTTTTCCACCTTTGTCTACACATATGCCTTAATAATTTTTCGTAAGCAAAAAACTAACGTGCAATCAAACCAAAAAGGTAAAGGCATATTTAAAGGACTTTTCATAACAAGTATTTTGTTAACAATATTTATACTCTTGGTCATCACACCTGACGTAATTTATGCTTATAATTACTACAAGTCTGTTCCTAAGTTACTAGTATTTGCAAACTTATTTTTTCTTCTATCTTTATGGACGGATGCATTAGTATACATATTTGCATCACCCTCAGTTATATTGTTTTTAAAAAAACAATCACAAGGCTTGTTTAAAAAAAGAAGAACCATTATAAAAAGCGAGACGTGCGTTAAAAATCTATCGCTAAACGAAGAAAATACACGTTTTTAGTAAAACTTAAGTTATCAATAGTTCGGCCAGCGCCGAGCGGGGAAAATCTCCAAAAATTAAGTTTTTAGAAGGAATTAAAATGTCATATTCTTTGTTTTTAATTCTACAGTTGAAATATGGTCAAAAAATGAAATTAAACACTAAACAACTCAAGCTTCGATTGCAACTGGATTAAGTTATGCGTTCTATATAAGCATTAACTTGAGGGAAAAAACGCATTTTGTTTGAGATATCTTTGTTTCCGCGCATTTTCTTTGATTTTAAATAAACCAACTATTTGTAATGTGTTATATACAATGAGTCATGTTTGATAATGTAAATCAAATGTTTAAACCTTTTAAAAAATGTTATTGAATAACTATTGCTAAAAATTTTATTTTATTTTAGAACATAACCAAATTGTAAGTCAAGTAAATTCTAAAAGTGATTTTCCACTCATTCGTTTTTCTACTGGAACGGGAACAATAATCACGTGACCATGCGTAGAATAAGTTTTAATTTTTCCGATGGAAAACTACGTATGCTCACGTGATTATTATTAACTTACCTATCCCGTTCCTGTAGTGAAACGGATGATTGGAAACTCAACTAAAAACCTACGGTTAAGGTTGCGCATGTAATAATATAATCACCATACCAAAGCTGCCAAAATACCTAAAATTTAAAATCTAAAAAGCTTTAAAATAAAATTTAAAATCTAATTGTAAATTAAGAAATTATTTTCATTAAACAACATGGTTAAACTCAACAAGGTAATTGTTGGAGGTAGTAGGAGGATTATTGTTATAAGTTGTTTTTTTTTTTTTTTTTAATATGTTTGTTTCACTTTTTACAATAAATACAATTTTCATATATATAGCACGAAATGATTAATGGCTAGTGTAAAAAGAAGACATAATTTATGATTTATATATATCATATTATATTGGCGCATATACACAAAGTAGTAGTTAGTAACGCTAAAATGCTTATATTATCTGCAGTAGCAAAAAAAAAAAGAAGGCAGCTGTAGTAGCAAAAATCACGATTATATACTTGTAAAGATAAAAATAAAAGATGAATAATATATATATATATATATATATATATATATATATATATATATATATATATATATATATATATATATATATATATATATACATATATTTATATTAAGAGAGTAATACCATTATTAAACTTTGTTATAGTGGATTGAGATAATAACATTTTTTATTAGAGCTTTACTTTATTTAAAAGAAACATTTAAAATCTAGCATAGTGAGATCCATAAATAAGAACAAAATAAGAACAAAAGTTTTCTTTTTTAAATCGATCAAGATTGGTTTTCTTTTTTTTTGTAATATCTGAAAATAAACTTCATAAATAAACTTCATAAATAAACTTCATAAATAAACTTCATAAATGTGGTCCACGATACTTAATTGAGCATGAACTCAATTTTAAACTATATCTTGGGACAGCAAAGTTGTTGACTGAAAATCTTGTGCTATATTTTTGGCAGATTTCACTAAAATAGGATTCAAATATTTTTGACGATATTTCTAGCTTAGTTCTATACATAAAAACTAACATTTCATGTAGGGGAAGTGGGGGCATAACCGCATGTGGAAGCACAACCGTTTTTTAACATTTTTCTTCAAAAAATGTTATCTAATATGGCAAAAAATATACCACGCGTTAGTAAAACAGTTTCCTTCATTTTGCATATGTCAAAAAGAGTGACTGTTAAGTTTCTGAGAAGTTGTGAATAATAATTTTTATATCGATAAAAATATTATATTTACATCATATTTTTCCTGATCTTCTTTTTGAGAATTAAGCAATATTTAATTTTAGTGTTAAAAATATGTGTTATCAGCATTATTTCATGAAGTGAAAGTCATTTTTGATAATACCATAATCTAATTATTAATCTATGAAACTGAATTCTTTCTAAAAACTCTCTTCTGGGGTAGAACTCTCTTCTGGGGCAGAACTCAAAATGTAAACACAAGGAATGCCTGCACAATATGCAAACATGCAACAAAATCATCAAATCATCTGAGCTGTGAAAATTGTAAAAAAAAATGTACCATGAAAGGTGTAGCCCCATCGATTTTTTTGAGGATGTGGTTATTGAAATAAACTGCTAAAAAAAACACACTTCGTTTTTATTTTCATATAACATTATTCCAAACGTTACGGGGGCGGTTATGCCCCCACTTTCCCTAAATTAATTCTATATATTTAAGGATAGTTTATTTTCTCTAAACCATAAATTAAAGTTTTCCAGTTCAGTATTTATTGTTCCGAACATTGATTTTAAATTACTTTAATTATAAAACAATGTTGTGTCATCAGCATACATTATTGAAGATATTATAGATGATACTTTATGCATATCATTAATGTAAATTAAAAATAATGACTGCCCTAAGATTGAGCCTTGATGGACCCCACACTCAATATCAACATTTGACTCTTTGTTTATTACAAACTGCTTTCTATTACTCAATTTTTTACCCATTTTAACATTAGTCCTTTGAAACCATAATGTTTTAATTTTGATAGCAAGATGCTGTGGTCAACTGTTTCAAATGCCTTTGAAAAGTCTATAAATATTCCCAGTAAATGATCTCCTTTATCAAAAAATTGAAATATTTTATTAGTAAGTTTAATGATAGCATGCTCTGTTAAACATCTTTTTTGAAAACCAAATTGATTTTCATATAAAAGTTTGTTTAACTTCAAGTAATTATAAATTCGATTGTAGATTACTTTTTCATAAACTTTAGAGAACACTGGTAGGAGGAAAATTGGTCTGTAGTTAGACATATTTTTCACAATCTCCATTTTTATAAACAAGTTTGACTTTAGCAACTTTTAACATATCAAAAAATGTTCAACTGTGCTCAAAAGAAGATAATATTAGATGAAATAAGGGTTTTCTAATACATTTAACGACATGTATTGCTACATTGCTAGTAATGTCATCATATCCTCATAACTTATTTTACTTTAGTTCAGTCAGAGCTTTGTTAAATTCTTTACAGGATATTTTTTCATTTGATGTACATGATAGGGGTTTTTCTCCAATAAATTTATCAAAATTCTTATTTGGCATCACTATTTTTGAAGTTAGACCGGGACCAAGATTTACAAAGTGTTTTTTAAGTTCACAGTAAATAACTGATTCATTTGTGTTTTATTTATTATGAAAAAATATTTTTTGAGGCATGCTAAAGGATTTCTTTTTTCTCTATCAGTTTCTTTGTTTATAATCGACCATGTTTTTTTTATGCCTAATTTATTTTTATTTAGCAGATTAGAATAATACATTATTTAAGCTTGTCTGATATTTTTTTTAAAAAACTTTTTATAGGAAAAACCTGTTTATAGGCTAAATGAATATAAAATTTATTAAAATAAATTTTGAAAACTGGTTGAAGAATAAAATTTTTCAAATTGTATTAATTTTTAACTTTTAACGAATATAAATTGTGAAAAGAAATCGGAGATAAGTGGGTTTTACATTTAAACATAAAAAACAAAACATTAAAAATATTATGTTGGTATATATTAAGAATATTCATTTCATTTAAAAGAGACTTAGCATGATAAAAACGATGTTAAAAATGAATAAGTTGTGAAACATGTTTCTGTTAGCAATAAAGTAGTACTAATTTGCATTTGTTAACTATCTTCATCTTGCTTTCCTGATTTATATAATTTACAATCTTTTAAGTCATCTTTCAATCGTTGTCTTGCTTTACAACCTTCATTTTTTCTCTTCCAGTAACTTCCAACACCAATTAGTGGTGGCTTGCAGCCTTGTTGGAAGCGAAGATGTTTATATAAAAAAAAAAAGCCGCACTAGCATAGTTTAGATGGCAATGAATAAAAAAATGGTGTAGCTGAATTAAAGTATGTTTATTTAGTATGCTTTTCATATTTTTAAATAGTATTCCTATACCTTTGGTAATTTTGGATATCATGTTTTTAGGTAATGCTAAATTAAACTCTAATTCCAATTTAAGTCAACATAAGAAAATAAGATAATTACCGACAAGGATACGAGGAGTTGGAAAAGTGCTTTTTTTATTTATGATGATTTTCATCTAGTTTTTGAACTATCATTTGTATAATTATCTTGACGACCGCTGAATGACCGCTGACCGATAAAGTTTTGGTTTTTAGTTTAAAACTAACTGATCTAAAATCTTAAGTCTCAAATTTTAAAATCATTTTTTCTTTTTTTGTTTCTTTCTTGTTTACATTTATATCACTTCATATATAGATTTTTTAAAGAAAAAGTAATAATGTCGTTATAAAATATAACAAATACACGGTTAGCATGGATCCTTATAATGCCTACCTAGCTGTCCCAGAAACGCCACTTATACGGAAAGTTAGCGTAACCATCAAGGTACCCTGTGATGCAAATTTTGAAACCATTTAATTTTGTCCGGGGAAAATAATTTAATTTGAATGTTCAAACTAAGTCAAATTTTGACTTCATAGTGCGCCAATAAAAACACTTGTAGAGTTTGAACCACTCAATATAATTTGATAAAAATTGGCGCAAATGTATCCAATAGTCACACCAAACTCTGGACTAAATTTCAGCCTGATTGGATGACTGGTGTAGGAATCATTGCAGTTTTAGATGAAGTTTTGTCAGTTTTTTGCAACTAATACCTCAAAGCGCTACCGATTATTTTGAAATTCGGTCACTATTTTTAAAATAACGGTTACATAAGTGTTCTACTATGTAATACCAACAACTTTTGTTATAAGTACTTAATCGGTACATGTACAATTTTTATTTCATAGACCAAAATAGTGATTTTCTACTTAAAGCTTGATTTAAATAGTCTTATGCTAATAGTGTCGACACGGCTTTCATAGTGGAGGGGGTCAACCCCTTAATTTCTAAAATGAAATCCATAATTTCTAAAATAATTGCCTATATTTCTAAAACAAAAGTTACTTGCAAAAAAAATTAGAGAAGGATATGATCCCCCAGCCTCCCCGGCGTTGACGGCCATGTATGCTTCGCTTGAATATACCAACATTTCTTAAGGTATAAACTGCTGCCAAAAAAAAAAGCTAAAAAAAAGTGAAAAACTTGGTCAAAGGACTACCAGTTAGTAAAACAAAAAAAAAGTAGATCTCCTAAAACATTTTGTATTGACCTCCTTAAATATATTTACTTTTAAAAAGAAGTGAAAACTATTTAAACCCTATTTTTTACATAGTATTACCATCAAATATCTAATTACATTTTAAGAAATATTTTTTTGATTTTCTCTACCAAAAGATTATTAATAAATAGCTCAATGTACTCTTTTAATACAAATACTCTATAATACTATTTTTAAAGATGGTGAAAATATTCGTTATACGCCGTAAAATATGAATTTCAGCAGCCTAATTTCTAATAACTCAAGTCTTGTTCTTTAAAGATGCTTATTGTTTAGATCAATTATGCAGCGCAACAATCTTTCTTTGTTCTCTGGATGATTATTATTTCGCTTATACCTCGACCAATGTTGATAAAAATCTTGATGAAAAGTTTCGACAATTTGTTCACTATAGGGCCGCATAGGGGATCCTTTGTAACTGATGAAATCCTTGATGTGGTAGAAGACGGCGTGAATTTTGGGTGTTACGCTTGCACCAGTTATCATTAGGTAACACTTTTTGAAATTTTAAATTTTTTCAGCGAAATCCGGCTGAAGGATGTATCCAAAGCAAGCCTTTACAACTAAATTAAAGCTTTTGAATGCTTCAATTATGCAAACACTGTATTGGGAACCATGTTTGTCTCAGCAAGTTGCTGCAGCAAATCCACATTTTTAAGAAGCTTCCTGCATTCATTTCCCTCAAACTGACCCCCGTGGTACGGGCTCAGTTGAATGTGAGGGGCGGCTAGCCACTTAACAGCTTCTATTCAAGCAGTTTTAAGGATCTTGAAAAGATGGTTGACAACTCCTAAGAAGGAGATGCAATCCATCTGTGAAATGGTTTCCAAAATCAAAACATTGACAGGCCCGCAGATCATTAGCTTTTAAATGACATTGCCAAACAGCTTTGCATTAGCAACAACCCCGCCAGATTGCTGAAAAGACTCAAGGCTTGAATTAATTTAGCCCAGTGTTTGCAAGTTTCCAGATTTGGCAAGACAGTTGGATTTGACGTCACACCAGGTGTAAGGGTGCGTACTTGGATGAGTTTAAAGACCACAAATTATATTTGCAACTTTCATATCACAAGTCAAAATTAGTTTAACTTCATTTGCATTAATCAGTGACCAGATTTGTTCCATATTGGAGTGTGTTTCTGGCAAATCTTCTGAAACCCCAACAATAATTTGTCTCTTGACTCCGGTTTCTTTACCAGTCCTTTGAGTGAGAAGTTGTTTTTGGTACGGTAAGCTGGTTTCATCCCTTAACGCAGTATCAACAATGTTTAGGCAAAACTTGAGAAAACCTTTGCCACCATCAATTCCGAGCTTAACAAAATAGCCACCAGAAATTTTGCGGGACTGAATAACATGATTCTTAAGACTTAATAAATCATTGCAGTGAGCAACAACATGAACTGTACAATAATCTGTTTTTTCGTCTTTAAATTCTAAGTCGCTGCAGGTGAAGAAATTGTTGAATTGTTGACCTAGTCTTAGAAAACTCATGTAGAAATTTCTCTCTACTATCTTGCTGCTTGATGTTTTGTTTACAGTTCTAAAAGGTTTCTTTAATCCGTTGTTTGACAGGCACGTATTTAATTGCACATTGACAAGGGCTACAGTGGTCAATTTTGGAGCACTTGATGGTGACTGCGCACTACTTTGACCTAAAACCAAAACATACATATTTTATTGTTACAATAAACTTTGTTTAGTAAGTTTATTGTAACAATAAAATATGTAACTTTCAAATTATTCGTTTTTAAAGAAATTAGCAACTTGTCAAAAGTATACTTTTTGAAATCTATCTAGTGTTATTTCTTAATATTCAAGACTTTATTTCAATATATATGTTTAAATTATTTAAGTATAAGTATTTACCAGGGTTAACTGTAAATGGAGGCCTGCTGGATGCTATAGCCAGATTAGTTCCTTCCGGATGCTATAGATTAGTTCCTTCCGGAGATAATTCTTTATTGGAATTAACTCAAGATGCGATTTGTTCGGATGATTTGGCATCTTTTGCTGCTGAAGATTGAATGTTTTCCATCAACATCATTTAAGAGAATTGGTGGGGCAAACCTTTTCCTAAAGGGCTGAGGCATTAGCTGCAACGCACCTTTGGTTTTTTTTTAATAGTGGTTTGCTCTATAAGAGGATGTTTTTCTTGCAGCTTTAAACGACCAATTCGGCATATTAGGCAACAACACATCGTTCCTCTTGTTTCAGGTCTCACTTGCATTGACTTAAAATCAAATAAAGGAGGGGGTGCAACTTCTTTTCCCTCTTATTTCCTGCGCAAAGTAGTTCTACAAGGTTCGCAGAATCTTTTTGGTACCCGAGTATCACTGATATTGATCTTGGTCTCGTACAGTTGGCATATTCGATCTGCTTGAAAAGTAGTAAGCTGTCTTAAACATTTTTTCAGACAGAGCAAGCACACAAACTTTCGATTTTTATCATAATTCTTTGCTTGATTTGGCATCACGGCAATTCACTAAATTTGACTTCACTAAATCTAACTCTGCCTTTTACAAAATTTGACCTAAATTTATATTTGATAACAATCCACTTAATATAGAAACACATATTATTAATTTAAAACTATTAAAATAAAGAAAATATTTATTTGATTTAATTGAGGTATATTAAATTACAAAGAAATAATTCTTGAATAGTTCTTTCCTTACCAGGAAACAATTGTTTAAACTACTTATTTGTAAGGAAATTACATTATTGATAATTATCACACTTATTAAACTAATGATACTTGTCACACGGGTTGTTTTATTTCAAAACAACCCTTCAACCTAATTAGTTATTCAGTAAGAGGATTTTTTCCTCCGACTGGCCCTCCAAACTTTGTATTGGTCAGATATCTTAGTTAACTTATCTAAATTTTTTAAGTCAATTATCTTTGTCAATATAAAAAATATTTGGTTTTTTCACAGTTGTTCTGTTTTCAGATAAATAAATATTTTTATTTTCTATGTAGGTATCTCTAGAAATCCTTCTTAACCATTTTTTTAGAATTTTTTTGCATTCTGGCAGTAGCTTATACCTTAGGAAATACTGCTATATTCAAGCGAAGCATACATGGCCGTCAAGGAAGCCGTGGCTTGCCCACTTTTTTTTGCGAGGATCTTTTGTTTTAGAAATATAGGCAATTATATTAATTATTAGAAATTATGGATTTTATTTTATAAATTGAGGGGTTGACACCCTCCACTTTGAAGGCTGTGTCCACGCCATTGGCATAACCCAATTCAAATCACGCTTTAAGTAGCAAATCACATTCAAATTAAATTATTTTCCGCGGACAAAATTAAATGATTTCAAAATTTACATCACAGGGTACCTTGTTGATTACGCTAACTTTCCGTATAAGTGGCGTTCTTGGGACAGCTAGGTAGACATTATAAGGATCTGTGCTAACCGTGAATAGTATAAAATTCTAAATATCAAGAACGCGAGACTTGAAGAAGATCGGATGTCACCGAGAACCGCTGAAAAATCTTAAAAACTGCTTTTAACACGTTTAAATAAATACTGATACATGAGAAATAAGCGATAGTTAAAATTAAAGAAAATGAAAAATAAAATTACACTATCAATACGTAAAGATGGAATAAAAAATTACATTATTAAAAATACCTTTAGAAATAAACCATAATAAAAAAAAATTTAACAATATCTTAAAATTAAAAATTTAAAAGTACGAAGATGTTTTATTTATTGAAAATACAATATTTTATACAATATATTCAATCTCAATATATTCAAAGACAATATATTCAGTTTTTTTTTGAAGGAGAGATAACTATAATTTTAAAGAATATTAAATTTTTTAAAAATTATTCTATTCCATAAAAAAGCTCCACGAAACAAAATGCACAATTTTTAAAATTTTGTATGGTAAACAGGTTGAAAAATAGTTTTATTATTTCGTAAGATATATATTTTTTTCTTTTAATAAAAATAAATTTTGAAAAGGTTTGGGTGATCAACTGTTTTTACTCTTTTTTTTAAGAGATTACTTTCTGACATCAGTACTATTTAATATCGGCCATGCCTATAGTAGTATATACATATAAGTTAATTTTTTTGTTTGTTTGTGCGTGTGTGTGCCTTTTATATAGTTTGAGGTTACTTAGTTACTTAGGTTACTTTTATATAGTTTGAGGTTACTTAGTTACTTAGGTTACTTTTATATAGTTTGAGGTTACTTAGTTACTTAGGTTACTTTTATATAGTTTGAGGTGCCTTCGTTACTGTTTTAGCTCACCTGTAATCTACTTTATATGTATGTTTGTGATCAATCTAAACTTCTTGCGCGGTGTTGACTCATCCGTAAGTTGCTTTCAGTATGTTTGTGCTCTGTCTAATACTCTGGTTTACTCACTCGTAAGTAACTTTATGTATGCATGTGTTCTGTTTAAATGTTTGAATGTTCTATTTAAATTTTTAAATCTGTTTTGATGCAGTGTGAGCTCCTTAACTAACTAGACACTCCAACTATTAAACTTACTCTCACTCTTATCTATAGTATTTTGTTGGGTCTAATATTTTTCTTAATGCATTTCCAAAATATCATGCCCAATGCTTTAAGGTGATGTAAATGCAAACTTGTGTTACATTGTTCCCAGCCTAGGGTAATGAATGCTGGATCTTCTTGAATTTTCTCATAGGTTTTTGCTTATGTCTCCTTGATAGTGGCTACGCAACTCTTCCTAGCATATTTAAGTTAAATGAATCAAGCTCTCTTTTAACTTAAATATTCCAAAAGTAAATCAAACTGCTTGACATAAAAAACCATCCCCATCACCTAACTGTTTTAATATATCTTTTACTAATAATTGTGGTCTGCAAAGTACCCTTCCATAAGTTGAATCTTACCTCTTGCAAAATTCACCAGACTTGCTTGCTCTTAGTGAGACTTATATAAATTTTGCTGGATCTTTTTCTGATCTCAATGTTAATAGGTACTATCCGTTGCTTCCAATAAGCACATGCTTGGCTTAGGGGTATAGATCCTAACATGTGTTTAGTTTCTTCTTTTTCCCCCTTAGGTGGTTCTGATCATACAATGATCTCTTTAAATCTTTTATCTCGTACATCATTTTCGGACTTACTCTATCATCGCACTATTTACTACTACACTGAAGTTGACTGGGACACTTCTTTTGATTTTCTTTGTGACAATCCTTGGGCTGATGTTTTTTCCCACTCAGCTGAAAAATCCGTCTCCTACGTAACCTCTCGGATTCAGGCAGGAATTAATGCTTTTATTCCTTTTCGTCGGTTCCAAGTCAAACCTCATTCTACTCGTAGTTTTAATCCTAATGTGCAGCTGCTATACATAATTGTAATTATATTTTTCATCTTTTTCAAAAGAATAACTCTCTTAAGAACAAGCGGCTATTTAATATTGCAAGAAATTAATGTAAAAATGTCCTGCTAGATGCTAAGCTCCATTATTCTCAGTTTACTAAATATCATATCTTATCTAACTTATCTCAGAATTTAAGCTCTAGAGACTTTTGGAAAATCTTTTGTTGTTAACAACAAGGAAAGTCTAACATACCATCTCTCATTCATAGGACTAATCTTATTACTTCTCCCAGGATAAAGCTGAACTATTTGCTACTTTGGACTTTTCTTCTAATTTGGATCTCGAATCTTATGGCCATTCTCTTCCTTCCATTCTAAGTAAACAGGTTAACCCAATGTTTGAACTTCAAATCACTCCTACTTCCGTAGCTAAAGTCATATCTCGATTAAACTCTTCTGCATATTGTGGTCCAAACAACATTCCTGTCATAGTCTTACAAAATTGTTCTCCAGAACTCTCTTCAGTTTTCTCTAAACTATTTAATAAATGCTTGAATGAGTCTTGTTTTCCTGCCTACTGGAAAATCGCTATACTATTATGACCGCTGCTCAAAGAAGCTTTTATCTCTAGTTCCTCAACTAAAATTCGTTCTCGCTTGACTTGTGATTTATCAAAGTCTCATTCTTATACTATATACGTCCCTGCATATTCCAAAAACTTTTATTCGTCTAGCTTTTTTTCCCGCACTTTAACCCTTTCGAATTTTCTTCCATCTTCATGTTTTCCTGACACCTTCAACTTTTTAAATCATCTGTCAACCGATTTCTTGCTCTATAACTCTATTCTTTTTTTCTAGTAACTCCCAACTTAATAGTGGTTGCTTGCCGCCTTGTTAGAAGTAAATCAGTATAAAAAACTTTAAAAATTACAGTTTCAAAATTATTTTTCCTCCTAATATACAGAAGATTTTGTTATAGTAAATTATGAGTTAAGTAAATTTTGAACAGTATTTTTTTTCCTAACTTTTAGTAAATTGCGTTATTAAAAAGATGGTTCAGCAAAATGATATAGTCTCCAATGCAAATTTTACTGTTTGCTGCATAGGATTTGTTCTAAATGGTTTTGGATTGTTTGTTTTACTAAAGTTTCAAAATGGTTATAGTTTAACACAGCGGTACATACTGATCCAACTTTGTTTCATCGATTTATGCTTAAGCGTAGTATATGGATTTTATAATTTAAACTTAGACCACATGATTTTAAATTTGCTTGAGTTAACTGTTAATACAGGATTTTATTATGCAACATTTTGGTTGGTATGCGACAGATACTTACATATAAAATTGAATATAAAATACGTCGTCTTCTGGTCCAAAAAAAAAACTATAATTTCAGCTACGATTGTATGGATTATATCTCTATTGAGTTCAATTTTATTTTATTATAACATTGTGCGTAACAGTGCTCTTAATTATGTCTGCTACGATTTTATTATAATTTGTTTTTCCACCTTTGTTTACACATATGCTTTAATAATTTTTCATAAGCAAAAAACTAACGTTCGATCAAACCAAAAAGGAAAAGGTATACTTAAAGGGTTTGTCATGACAAGTATTTTATTAACAATATTTGTACTTCTGGTTACCACACCTGACGTAATATGGACCTATTATTACTATAGGCCTGTTTCTAAGTTCATTTTTGTATTTGCAAACCTACTTTTTCTTCTATCTTTATGGACTGATGCATTAGTTTATATATTTGCTTCACCCTCAGTTATATTTTTTTTAAAAAATCAAACACAATGTTTGTTTAAAAAAAGAAGAACCATTATAAGAAGTGAGACGTGCGTTATAAATTTATCGATAAACGAAGAAAACACACGTTTTTAGCAAAACTAAGGTTATCTATCGTTCGGTCGGTGTAGCGAAATGAAACACCTCAAAAAATTAATTTCCGATTGAAACATTTTAACTCCCTACTTGGTGTAGTTGTCTCAATTTTAAAATATTATAGCATCTGTATGATGTTTTGCTGATAACGACATATTTCCCTTGAATGATCAGGTTTGTGAAAAGACAAAAACAATTAAAATGATAAGTTTTGCCGTAACATAAAATAAAAATGTTTATAGCATAAAAACCCAGGCTGGAGATTCTTTTCTTTTTTGAAAAAAAATCTTCTTATAATCAAGATTGCTTGTCTAAATTTGAACAAAATTTTAAATAAATACGTTGCTTAGGTAAAGTGATCATCATAGTGTAATAATATGATCAGTTCTGATCGTTTGACAATTTTTTTTAATTATAAGCTTTTTCTTAGTCGGAGTTTTTATATTTTTTTGCAAAAATCAATAGAAATGCTGTGTTTTGACAATTATATTTAGTTAATATGTACTAGAACAGATTAGAGCTAAGATTTATAGTAGATTAACCCTTTCGTGACGACTGATCGCCCGGCGGGTCATGAAAACCGTTTCCATATTACGACTGATCCGTCTAGCGGGTCATCAATATTTCCTAAAGATGTTAGACGTATAACAATAAAGTTTTCACCCCTTTTGGTTTATGTTTAAATAAATGTCTAAAATTACTATAAAACTATTATTTTGACTAAAATGCGTACGATTAGTTAATAACAATTAATAACAATTAATTAATTATAATTATTTATATATAATAATTAACTATTATAATTAACCGCCTATTTAATAAAAAACAAATTTTTTTCAAAGTCTTGCAATTTTCTAAGACGTTAGACTTAATCGGCTGTATTGTTAACTTAATGTTATTAGGGGGCATCCATAAAGTACGTACGCAGTAAAATCATTGATTTAGGACCCCCCTCCCCCTTGTACGTACCTGTACGTTTTTGAAGACCTCCCCCCTCCGCGTACGTCACGGCTGTTTCACTCAATATAAAAGCGAGCCTGACGTCACGAGTTTATCAAAAAAAAAAGTATTTCCGCATAAAAAGTATAAAAATTCATTAACTTTAAAATAATAGTATTTTTTTTCTATAAATGCTTTCATCTTCAAATAAAAAAAATATAAAAGATCTATCTTTCCTTGTTAAATAAACATTTACATTAAACGGAATAAAAATGAAAGCTGTAAAAATATTGTTAATAATTTGGCATCACTTTTCTGATTTTTGCGATTTTTACGCAAAACCTGTCTTAGGCCAACTAAGATTTGATAACATAGCTACATGGTCGATGGTTGAAATTTAGAACAGTTATTAATGAATGTCTGTTCTATCTAGATTTCTACAGACTTTGCAAGTTTTTATATAGAATGTTAGTTTTTAATGCATTTATATTTTTGTTTTTATTCGTTTTGAATAAAAAACATAACATTTTTGAAAAGTCTGTGGATTTAGTAATACTTCAACCTTATATGAATAAGAAAATCAAAAAATTATTTTCTGTACCTCTAGCTATGTTATCAAATATGTTTTCAAACTTTGCATGTTTAGCGACATTTTTTTTAGTTTTTTTTGCATAAATTCTTGTTTACATTTTGAAGCGGTGACGCAAACTCTGATCGTTACGTCCCCAACGATTATCGGATGCATTTTAAGAAAACAAACAAAACAAACGAGACACATTTTATAGAATAAATAACAAAGTTTCGCGGATTAATTTCTCTTGGATATTTGACTAATTTCAGGTAAGTTGATTAATCCGATTTGATCTAGTGCATCTATTTGTCAATATTATTCTATTTAAGTTGTTTGTATTATAATTTTATTACTATATCAGTAAAGATTATAAAGCAAAGTTTCGTGGATTATTTCCTCGTGGATATTCGACTAATCTCAGATAAGTTGCTTAATTCTTTTATTTTTAGTGTATTTATTTGTAAATATTATTTTATTTAATTTCTTTTATTATATTATTATTATAATATCATTATCATTATTTATGCGATGTATGCAACTGAGAGGGAAATTTTGAAACTGTACATCGGTTGGGAAGATGGTTGGGAAAATGAGTATAACTTTAATTTTGTAAAGCGAGTAATTGACACTAGTAAGATCACTAACAATGTGATTTCAATTTTATTAACAGTTTTTCATCCAAAAGCGTTGTTTACTTTTTTAAGTTTTCTTTTGCCAATTGAGTTTAATATGCCTAATATTGATGGGTTAAATAAAATGTGCCGAAAAATAAAACAAAGAAAAAAAGATTCTAAAAAGTATTTTGAAGCTTCAAAAAACGAAGCATTTTTTAAAATGCAACTGTCTCCAGCTCCACAAACAAAAAAACAAAAAAAATCAGCAGATGCAGATAATTTTTATATTTTAAATAGGAATAAGGAACTAAGTAGTCAAGTTGAACAATTAATTTCTAAAGAAAAAAATAATGTGGAGCAAATAGATAATTTAAAAATACAGGTATCAAAGTTGGAAACTGAAGTTATATATTTAAATTCTAAAAACAAGGCTCTCAACGCACATTGTAACTCATTAAGTTCTCAATTAGAGACTATGAGTATTAGGCTAAAACAGGAGGAGCAGTTCCAACTTTAAAAAAAAAAATAATAAAAAACAGCACACCGTAAATTTGCATCTGCTCGTGCCAAAAATGTAAGATTGCTAAAAAAATTTAAATTTGAAAAAAAAAATGCAAAAATCAGTGATATAAACAAGAACAGTTGCCAAGTTTGCAAATATTTTGCTAGCAGTGATAAGGATTTAGTTGTCGTTGATTCTTATTTAGACTATGACAACATTGGTTCCTCTGAATTATTCTGTGGGTTTAAATTAAGTAATCCACAGACTATATCAGTTAAAAAGCCAATAGTTGGTAAGAAATATACTTACATTACGTTAGGAGATGGTAAATCTTATTCTAAGTTAGGTAGGCATGCTGCAGCTAGACGATCTAAACTTGCTTTTATATTCCTTTGATTATTAGCTTATTCAGATTTGGAAAGTGATTTGTCTATGTTGTTTTGTGATTCTGTGTCTTGTGAAAAGTCTATGTTTCATTGTGTTGCAAATAAGTTGGGTTTAGTTAGGCAGTTAAGTGTTTCTGATGCTGTAGAGCTGCAGAGCCAATTAAGGATGCCCACGGCTGAATTCCGTAGGCTAAGACGTATTCTGTGTAATCTTGGTGCAAGGATTCTCCCATCTGAGCCCAAGATAAGACAAGAACAAGAAATGCGGACAATGCATGTTAGTAAAGAACATGTTACTGTAAAGTCCATGTTGCTTTATCCATCTGCGAATGAAGCACCTTGTTTAGTACCTGTATTGATGGTCAAGAATTTGATAACTTATATTGAAGAGGTTTTCAATAGTCTGCACGTTCGTGACCACTTCAATTCTGATGTCGGTTTTTGCGAAGAGGTATGGCTCCTTTTTGCTGGGGATAAGGGTGGGAAGTATATGAAATTCCATTTTGAAGTTGTCAATTCTAAATCATCAGGGTCTGTATATGATGTTCATTTATTTTGTATGTATCAGGGTTCAGACTGTCGTGAGAATATTGCCTTAGTTCTCGGGCATTATGCCAACGACATTAAAAGAATTCAGTCGTCAGATTTTAAGCTAAAAGGCAAAATAGTCAGGTTGTTCTTAGGTGGAGATTTTCATTTTATCGATGATGTTCTGGGACACCAGGGTTCAGCTGCTAGCTTTCCTAGTTCTACAGACCTAGTTAAGTTGAATTCTCTAAGAAACCATGCTTCTATGCCTCACACACCTGCTAATTGTAACATCTTAAGGAGGACAATACAATCTTTGGAAAGTGCTTACAATGAGAACTTGTGTGAAGATAGACAAGGTGGAAACCTAAGAGCTCTAGGTAAGTTTCATAATTCAATTATTGCTCCTGCGATTTTCCCCATAATAACTTTAGATAATGTAGTGCCACCTGTTTTGCATATTATGTTAAGAGTTGTGTTAAAACTTTATAAGTTATTGTTGAAGGAGTGTAAGACTTTGGATTGTCAAGCTGTTTCGTCTTTGTCGCATAATGAGAATGTGAGAACGAATGAATTGTGGGCTGCTAAAAGCTTTGAATGTTCTAAAACAGCAGACTCTTTACGTTTATTAGGAAATCAATTTGTAGACGTTGCAAACCTACAGACTCGTTGGTTAGCTTTTGATAAAAATATTTCTGAATTGGAATGCATATCTCTAAACTCCTCCAATAAAAAAAAAACCTGTAAACAGCAAGAAAAGTGTGCTAGTATCAGGTGTTTAATTACTAAATATGATTGTAACATTGATTGGGTGCAGTGTGGTACGTGCCAAAAATTGTTTCATCAATTTTGTGAAATTATTGGTGGTTCGGAAAAGAATGTATTGTGTGATATAGAGAAGTATGAGTGTTTAGCATGTCAGGGTAAAGATTTAGAATGTCTTGACCTTTATATTTCTGAAAAAATTTCTTTTATACGCGCACAGCGCGAAGTTTTAGATGTTGAGTATATTCGATTGCAGATAGAGTGTGAAGACCTAGAAAAAATATCTATAAGTAGCATGGGGACTCATGAGAGGTCTCTTTATAAGGCCCTTGAAGATATGAAAGTTGAGCGACAAGCTTACCATGGTAATGTATTTGTAGGTAATCATTGTAAAATAGTATTAAGAAACCACTATAAACTTTGTAGTGTTATTGATGATGAAGCAATTAAAAATAGATTTGTTTGTGTGTTTAGTGTTTTTAATAACTTGCAACCTATTCTTTTTAAGTGAAAATTTCTTTCTGATGCCGAAATTTTTGAGCTTCATCAATATATAAATTTATTTGCTATTGAGTTTCATGCTTGCTTTCCAAAAGAAAGTTTCACGCGAAAAATGCATGAACTCATTTTCAATGTGCCACTATTTGTAAAATTGCATAAAACTATTGGGTTGCTGAGTGAAGAGGAGGGAGAGTGTTTGCATAATAGCATAAATAAGGAATTAAGGCAGTTGCATTCAGTTAGAAATCAGGAGCAAAAGCTGCATCTTGTTTTAAAACGCTTTGAATTGCACAGCAAAGCTGATAGGAAGCTTCAAGCCTCTAAGGTGAGAAAGTGTGTTGTGTGTTCAGAGCGTGGGAAAATTCATTTTATAGACAAGGTCTTTGTCTTGTTTGTGGTCATCAAATTTAGTTTAAATGTTTGAAAAGTTAAAAAAAAAAATTAAACT